GCCCGTAACCAAATAGATTTAAAAAATAATATGTTCAATATCGATGATTACTGAAAATTATATTGAACATATAAAAAATAATATTATATATATATGGGGTAAAAATTATTACTTATTATAGATCTATATTAAATTTTGAAAGGTAATTCTTAATATTTTTACTGTAATTCTTAATATGTTCAATATCGATTACTAAAAATTATATTGAATATATAAAAAATAATTTTATATATATACAAGATAAAATTATTACTTATGATAGATTTATATTAAATCTTGAAGGGTGATTCTTAATATCCTTACTGAAATTCTTAATATGTTCAATATCGATTACTGAAAATTTTGAATTGGGCACTCCAAATTTTGAATAAACACGTGATACTTCATACGTCGGATTGTCCTCGTGTTACTGCAACTCGACATATGACGTGAATGACAATATCTAAAATTATGAATATATCATGCTTTTTGGGAATTCGAATTTACAACCTTAAGATTGAAAGTGAGGAGTGCTTATCAACCGACCAACTCTCTGTTGTCTCTCATTTTGATTTTTTCCTAGTTCATTCACTTCTTTCAAGTTTAACTTTTGTAGATATAATATATTATATGATTATTTATACACATACACAAGTGCATGAAATTTACGACTCACAATTTATTCAAATGTATATATTATATTTTAATCAAATTGTATATTTTTTAACATATCTTTAAATATATTTAGTACGATTCTTTCATTTTATTCAGTTATTTTTATAAATTTAAAAAATTATTTAGTACAATTATAAATTTATATAAAATTAAACTTTCGGCTATTGAATAATCAATTCAATTCGGTCAGTAAAATCAATTGTTTTGTAAAAAAGAAACATCGGTATCCATAAATGTAGTACTCTACCATAATACATTTGAAATCCTAAGTTGTTCATTTCTTACATTTGTGCTTTCGTTTTAAAGTTTTTTTCGATTTTCATACTGATGAAAAAGTTGATAGAAATTCTTGAAATATTTCGCATCTTTGCAAAGTCTAAATTTGTAAGTCGATGTTATCTCTATATAGTTGATCTACGTGCGTTTGTGGAATTACTATTAAATATCTACATATTTTTAGACAGAAGCAAATATATTGACTTAGTCTATGAAGTTTACCATTACAAATCAATAGTCATGCACAAAATTAGCACCAAGACTTGAGAAATTATTTTTCTATCATCAATAAAAAATAAAAGTGTTGAACCAACAAATATTAGTGATCTAGTGGAAGAACCGTACCCCACTCACGATGCATATAAACTGGATTATATTTTTTAAATGACGCATTTTATAATTGTGTAATTTAAGAAAATTCATGAATTGAACTTTTTCATTTTTACAAAATGAATCGAATTCGTTGGTTTCAATATTTTCCCGACTCTGTCTATTTCTTATGAAGCACTTATATTATTCTTTTTGTAAGTTGTCACTTGTAATTTTGAATAATTGTAGCGAAAGAAATAGTATTTAGCTATGAATTTTTTTTCATAGCAAATAGTTGAATTATTCACTATAAATTTCAAGTTGGTGCTATTTAACACCTTACATATTTGCTAACAATTTTTTTTGTTGTCATTAAATCACCAATTAATTAGAGACAATAAAATCTTTGTCACTAATTATTCATACTATTAGTGACGAAAATAATTATCATAATTAAAGTTAAATTCTTATACCTAAAACTTATATTATTTAATTACGAATTCTAGTTTGTCAATATTGTAACAACATATATTCTTGGATGAAATTTTTTAGGTAAAAAAACAAAAAATTTTAAGGCAAAAATTAATATATCATTAATTAGATTCATTATTAGTGACAAAATAATTTCTCACCGATACTTTTAAATTCATGGCTAACAATACTTAACAAATAACGCTAATTATGTTTTTGGTGGGAAACTTTTAGTAGGATACTTTGCTACGAATTTTTATGTTTTGTCACTAAAAGTATATGTGTTTTATACATTTAAGCACGAAAAGTCAATTTTTTCACTAAAAACGAACAATTACTGACAAATTTAATGTTGTAGCTATATACCTTTTGTAGTGTATGATTTGAAATGACTCGGGGCAAATATAAGGGGAGTAGAACGCTAATTTTTGCGAAAATTTCCATAGATGTCCTTCCAGTCGTTACAACTATGTATTATTGTGGCACCTTAGGATATTCAATATTTTGTGTATGAACCACAATTTGTTTATTTGGTAAGATTATATAAGAATTGGAGAAACTTTAAAAGCTTTCACAACTTGTGAAATTTTCATATCTATGAGAAAAAATATAAATTCAAAAAATTTAAATTTTATGTCCAATTAAAACTTTAAACTCTAAATCAATCTAATTTTTAATCTGATTTTATCTCACGCATCCAAACGACCCTAAATAAGGTTTTTTACGCTCTCTCCTAGCAAACAACTATAGACAAACAGAGAAAAGAGTTCAAAAGCTAAATGGTCGACTTTATCAGAAACAACAGCTAAGCATGGGCCAATAAATAATATAAAATCATTTTTATTTATATTTGTATTATGGTCACAAGTTTAATAGTTCTGTTTTAATTTGTGGGATCTCAATAAATTAGACATCATGTCAATAAAAATTTAATTCTTATATTAACCGTATATAACTTATAATATAACACGTTGTTACTCCACATATAAATGATCTATCTATATATATATGTATGTTCAATGCATAAACCTATAGTACATATATATTTGAACCACAAATAATGCAATTTTATAGACAAAGGTGATGATGAGATGAATAGAATTTTATGTTCGAGCTTTAGATATGATAAGATTCTGATAGAATGTAATAATTTTTTTTTCGAATGGGTTTTACACTAAGCAAAATCATAAAAAAAATATACTTGGTTAGCAATATCGAAATTAATTGATGTCTCAAAACGGATATTGAACGCCTAAAAAGCTGGTATTTACAACAAGACCATCAATCAATATGCCACCCTTTGAGAGTTTGAAGGGTAGTATTCCTGTTGATCACTTTATATGAATGTTAAACTATTTATATTAATTCTATTATGATTTCTATCAGATTTTGAATTTATATACATATATTTATGTTCTGATTAGAATATTAACTTCTGATAGATTGTTTAGTTTCAGTATATTGTCAATGAATCTAACTTATGTTAAAAAAAAAAATCTGAAAACAAGATATTATAAGAAATTACAACGTGGATCTCAAAAATATTAGATGTGTGAAACAGGATCTTGTTTCCATTAATAAAGGAGTTCTCTAATTATATCGAAATCAGGATTTGAGTTCTATGAATACAGATTTTAAAGTTCTTAGTACTAAATCAATTGTATTTTTGGAATTATACCTTCATTTATATTATTTATTGCAATTTTATACATATATTTATATTCTGCGTAGAATATCTTCTTATATGAATTATTAATCGACTCTCCTTTACCAAAAGAATTACTTCACAATTGAAGGGTCCATATTATTTTTAATAAACGGAGACGGAAGACGTATTATTATATATGAAGAACTTACGAAATTTTTTGAATGCTCAAATATCTAATCAATTAAAATATCAAGTAAAGCCTTAGAAATACTATATAATTTTTAACACATATAAAACAAAGAAGATATACCTTTTTTCAAGTGTATAAAAAGGGCATAATGGATTTGTTGATTAGTATTTGTCTATTGATATAGAATTAATTACTAATTAAAAAAAAAGAAAACTTTATTTAATTTGTAATTAAGAATATGGCAGGCTTTTTGCACACACTTGGAATTTAACAGTGGTGTGCTGCAGTTAAAAAATTGAGTTGTATATATATTTACAAATGAATGCACCAAAAAATTTAATCAATTGTCAGGTAACATGTGTTAATTTTTGACCAGTTTTGTTATATATGTACAGATAGAAATTCTATACATGTTGTTAATCAATTAATACGATGCATAAAGTATTTTGAGTAAGAAGGATATTAAAATAATCGTATTTTAAAAAGTGTGTCGTAAATACTCCATTTAAAAATATATTTATGGTTTGAACATGTTACTTATATAAATTAATTTATCGTTGCCCTAAAATTTCAATCACTTTACACCAAAAATCAAAATTGATTAGTTGAATTAGGGAACTGTTACATGGTAGAAACTAGAAAGATAATTTCCATAGAACAATTATAAAATCAATGCTATATGAGAGAGAGATAATTATAAGACGAGTGTCGTAAAAATGCAGATATTGAAATGAACAGGAAGTCATACAAGACTAGACAAAATTAGAATGACCCTAATCACGAAATTCAAATAATGTTAATCAGTGCCGATTCATTAAGTAATTATGGAGATATTTTTAGACTAAATTATTAACGATAAATAATATTTTTTAATCAAACTATTAACTCTTGATGATATTTTTGAAAAGTACTTTTGACTCTTTTTTATTGGTTTTATTTCTTAATTAAGTATATATAGTTCTATTAACAAAAAGAGTACTAAATATAAACATTTGTTAGACGCCGAGGATACATATGTACCAATTTTTAATCGAGTGATTTATCTGCTCTAAATCGCAAATGCGAGGGGGTATATTTGCTCCTTTTCTGTATAAAAATTAATTATTAAGCTACTAAATATTATTGACCTCGTACACATTTAAGTGTTATTTGAACATGGAATCTTAGCAGCTCAATAGTTTTTGTCATCATATTTTCATCTTATTAATGAGAATTCGATTTTACACATTGTGATTTTTTTTTATTCTCTTCTCCTACACTACCCCAGTATAACACATGTTTAAAATTAAATTAACTTAATTTTAGATTTGTGTCCAAAATTAACTGCCATGAAAATATGCCTAGTTCAATCCAATTCATTCAAAGTTGATTGAGTTAGTCGAGTCATATTCCATCATGCTCATTGACATAATTAAGAAAAAATTAATTTATCTATTTTTAGATTTTTCCCTATTTACATATTCTTAAAGAAGTTTTTAAAATTACTCTAATTTTACTAAAGAAAATTAAGGGGTATGGGAAGAAGATTACAAGGTGCGGTATTAAACCCTGATCACCAATAAAGTAAAGATTCATATAGTCAATCAACTAAGTTGTTAAGATACCGGTCACATTTTCTTCACTTTCTTTCTTGAGATGGCTACTAATCAATTAATCAAGGGTTAGTTTTCTTACCTAGTGTGTGCTTGTTATTATGCAACCAAACCTTGAATACATGCCTTTTGATGCCAATCTCATTACACAATTGTTGAACAACTCCCTCATCATGTCTTTGAAGCTTCCACCCTAATTTCTCAGCCAATCTCAACATTTTGTCCTTGTGTTCTTGGCTAAATTTGGTTCGAAATCTCTTCTTTAGTAATGTTCCAATAATGTTTTTATTAGGGTTACACATTTCTAATAATTCTTGATCCTCCCGGAATCCGCCACCTGTTTAATATTTAGTGATGGTAGAGTAGAAGTCAGAGAAATTAATTACTCCCTCCGTTTCACAAAAAATGGTCTAGTTTGACTTGACATGAAATTTAAGAGAATAAATAAGACTTTTGATTATGTGGTCATCAATCAAAGTTATGTTAAATGTACAAAATTGACATTTAGGGCCCGTTTGGATGGGCTTAATAAAAACAGCTTTAAAAAGTACTTTTGAAAGTGCTGAAACTTATTTTTAAAATAAGCAGTTATGCGTTTGGATAAAAGTGCTGAAGTTGCTATGTCAAACGTGAAAAGGGAAAAATGGACGAAAGAGATGTTAGGGTTATGTGGATATTTTGGAGATTGTATAAAAATATTAAGGGCAAAAAGATAAAAATGTGGTCAACTTAAAACAACTTATAAGCTAAAAAAAAAGCACCCCTACCCCAGCTTTTAACTTTTGGCTTAAAATAAGTTTTTTTAAAACTTAAAATAAGTTATTTTGAGTATTACCAAACAGCTAAATAAGTCAAAAACCAGCTTTTAAGTCAGTTTGACCAGCTTTTAAGCTGAGCCAAACAGGCTCTTAATCTTGTGATCTTACACATGCTACGTGGAAAGTTGTTATAAAAAAAAAAGAAATCATTATTTTTTGAAATAGAGTAAAAAGGAAAGGATGTAATTTTTTTTGAAAAGGAGTGAGTAATATATATTCTCCTGTCCTAATTTATATGAAATGGTTCGACTTATATGAAAACCAAAATACATAATATATAGTCTTTTAAAAGAAACTAATTAGTACATTTTTACTAATCACATTGAAAAATTACAATAAATCATCATAACTATTAATTTAAAACATAAAAAGGATTGAGAAAACTGAATTTAGAGAAAAAAGTTGTTTGGCGGCCTAAATAATAATATCTTCATGTAGATTGGGACAAAAAGAGTATATTAAGTTATACAAAAACAAAAAATTCCAAAAAAATATCATCTTAACTAATTAATTATTCCTATTATGTCTAAATATATGTGACATATTTACCTTAATAAAGAAATATAGGAAAGAAACTTTTTAAAACTCCCCTTAATGACAACGCATATACAATTTTTGCGATTATAATTAAATCATCTTATTAAAAAATAATTTTAAAAAAATAAAATTAAACATACCAAATAAATTGGATAAATTAATAAAGTATCATTTTGATAGTGGAAAATGGTATTTTTAGTTTATGTGTTAAGACTATATTCTTATTTTAGTTTTCGTGTTATCTAACTTAGCATTATTAACATTCAATTATATCAAGTAAGTGATTTTAGTACTTCAACTTACAGATTCAAAAAAATAAATTAACAGAGAGTTCACTACTAAAAGGAATAGTTCGGGTATTTCCTTTTTAATTCTCTCTCTTTGAAGAACAAGCTAAGTCCGTCGATTTGAGCTACAATTTCAAAAACCAACTTGGTAGGCATTAACCCTCCCTCTAACACCGACAAATAATAAATTATGCAACGAATGATTTTTTTAAAAATAGTTTTCTGTTTTCTCAAACAATTACTTTAAAATATCCGAATTACCCCTTTTAGTAGTGAACTCTCTGTTAAAATTTTGTTAGTCGAAAAATTAAAATCACTCAATTAATATAATAAAAGGTTAATAGTGCTAAGTTAAATAACAGAAAGACTAAAATAAGAAATTAGCCTTAACATAGGAACTAAAAGTATCGTTTCCCCTTTTGATAATGTTATTACTTTATAAATAACATGATCAATTCCTAACAAATTGACTTCAAGTCACGCTAGAGGGTAAGTGAAAACACTAGTACCTCGAGAAGTTGAGGGTAACACTAGAGATCTCCGCCGTGGCATAATATGTGGAAAATATCCACATGGATGGTGGTGGTGGACGGTATCTTTCCGGTGGAAATTACGGTGGCAATTGCACACGGCGCATTTGAAGATGTCACCGGAAGGCATGAATTCGCCGCAGCCGTCGACGGCGTGGCCACCGATACCGGCGGCGTGGTTCTTGAGACACTCTTTGTACTTTGACATCTTTTTAAAAAACTAAAATGTTAGTTTTTAGTCACATAATAAGATTTGTGTGTAATTAAATATCTTTGGGATATTGAGTGTTTTTAGATAATATTTGGTTGAGGCTTAAAAAGAATATTTAAAGTTAAAAGTTGAATATCTTAAAGGTTTGAAAACGCATTTTGTCATGATTCTCATTTGTAAATTATCAATTTTTCATTTTTCTTTCTATTGTACGTTCGTTATACACTGCTTAGAAAATAATACTCTTTATCTTATTTTATGTGACACTTTTCATTTTTCGAAAGTCAAACAGTTTAATTTTGATTGGACATTTGTGTATGGAATTTTGAATTTTTTGAAGTGAAATTTATATGTTTGTAAACTACGTAAATATCATTATAAGTCTCAATAATTGATAATTCAAAATATTAAAATGATCTATGCAAAATTTACATTCAAAAATAGACTTATTTGAATTTCGAAATGCGAAAAGTATTATATAAAATGAGACGGAGGGAGTACACAACATAAAAAAAAAATCATCTATGTGGTTGTTTGTGGACATCTAATATTAGCATGACATATAAGCGTTATAGGTATATAAATAATCATTTTGTAAGTTAGAGTGTTCGAACTGACATAGTAAAATAAGTTAAAGAGTTAAAATATGCATTAACAGGGAGTTCAGTTGCTAATTATGACCAAATTAAATTATCTCTTTATATATGGTACTTTCTCGAGTTTTAGCTCTAAAAAACAAACTTCCAATAGTTGATTTAGTTTGTGAAGAAGCTCTATTAATGGAGCTTAAAGAAGACGAAGAAGAAGACGACAGAGGAATTTGAAGAAGAATTGTAGAAATCTGTATATTAACATATGTGTTTACATCATCTATATATACAATTCTGTTTTAAGTTTAAAAATGACAACTACTTATTCTAACTAATTCCTATTAACTAACTTGTAACTAGCTAACTAACTAACTAACTAAAATATTAAAAAGAGTACATGATTAGTTTATACGTCCTTTTAACACTCCCCCTCAAGCTAAGAATTGAAAAATACATTTTTCATTCCTAGCTTGTCAATCAGTTCTTCATGTTGAGGTTTGCACAGCCCTTTAGTTAGTATGTTTGCTTGTTGTTCTCTTGTTCCTAAGTATTATGTCTGAATAAGTCCTTCAAGTATCTTCTCTCTTACAAAGTGACAATCTATGTCAAAATGCTTTGTTCTTTCATGGAAAATTGGATAAGCTGCTATTTGAATAGCAACTTTGTTTTCACAGAATACTTTCACAGGCAACTTTATATTCATTCCCAGCTTTCTGAACAGACCTTTTAACCAAACTATTTCAGCAACTGTAGTAGTCATACTTTTGAATTCTGCTTCTGCAGAACTTCTTGATATTGTGCTTTGTTTCATTGATTTCTAAGACACCAGTGCTCCTCCTAGTTTGATCATATAGCCAGTTACTGATCTTCTTATCTCTACACAAGCCCCTCAGTCTGAGTCACAATAAGCTACCATTTCATTTCCTTTGTTGCTTGGCATAAACAACCCAAGACCTGCAGTTCCTTTTATATATCTCACTACTCTAAGTGCTGCTTCCATATGAGATATTTTTGGTGAATGCATATATTGACAGAGAACTTGACTACAAAGGCTATATCAGGTCTAATCATAGTTAAGTATAACAACTTCCCTATTAGTCTCTAATATTTCCCAAAATCATCAAGAAGTGTGTCTTCTGCATTAGCATTCTTTCCAATGAATTCATCAAAAACAGTAGATGTTAACTTGTGATTAAACTCGAAGGGTGTAGAAGAAGGCTTACAACCTACTAATCCCAACTCAGACACAAGTCCTAGAGCATACTTCCTTTGATTCATCAGTATACCTTATGTAGACCTAGAGAATTCAATTCCAAGAAAATATTTAAGCTAACCAAGGTCTTTCATTTTGAACCTATGTTGTAACTCCTCTCTTATTTGTTGTATATGATGTAAACTGCTTCCAGTAACAAGGAGATCATCAACATATACTAGAATGACTAGAAGCTCTTTACCTATGTTCTTAGTAAAAAATGAGTAATCATAATGAGACTGTGAAAATCCCATATCAACTAAAGCCTCTGTTAACTTCAAGTTCCACTGTCTTGGTGCCTGCTTCAGTCCATACAAGGACTTATGAAGCTTGCAAACCATGTTTTTCTCCCCCTGGTTTGCAAAACCCTCAAGAATTTGCATATAGACTTCTTTAGGAAGATCTCCTTGAAGAAATGCATTGTGAACATCCATTTGAAATATAAACCAGCCACATGAAGCAGCTAAATCTACTACTGACCTTACTGTAACCATTTTAACTACTGGTGATAATGTCTCAGTATAGTCTAAATCTTCTTGTTGATTGTACCCTTTTGCCACTAACCTGGCCTTATATCTCTCAACTTCTCCAGATGCTTTATACTTAACTTTAAACACCCACTTACAACCAATAGGAACCTTTGTTGGAGGTAGAGGAACAATAGACCATGTATTATTGTCTTCTAGTGCAGTAATCTCATCCCTCATAGCATTCACCCAATGATTATCTTGACAGGCTTCTCTATATGTATGAGGTTCAGAAATAGTAGAATATGCATCAAGAGAGGCTCTATAGGTAGGGGCTAGTTTAGAGTAAGTGACATATTATGACATAGGATATAGACATGCATTTTCTGCACTTTGAGTCACATATGAATCCAACCATATAGGTGGCTTAGATTGTCTAGAAGATCTTCTGAGAGAAACCAAGGGTACTGTAATATTAGAAGAAGTCTGAGACTGTATAGAAGTTGTAGGAATAGAAACTGGAACAGAAGTATTATCAGAAGCTGATACAGATGAATCATTATATGAGCTATCAGGAAGATCCATAACAGGAAACAAATGATCTGGAAAAGATTTAAGATTCTTGAAAGGAAATATATCTTCTTTAAACACAGTATCTCTGCTTATAAAAAATGATTTGCAAGTCAAATTATACAGAATATAACCTTTCTTGGTCATTGAGTACCCCATATGCACAGCTGGAACAACTCTAGGTGCAAACTTGTCTAGAGTTTTAGGATCTGTAGCATAGCATAGACTCTCAAACACTCTAAGATGCTGAAGACTAGGAACTTGTCCAAACAATTTTCAAAAGCACTATGTCCTTGTAGAAACACAGTAGGTCGTATATTCAATGTATATACAACAGAACACAAAATCCCCAAAACTGTAGAGGTACACCAGCCTAAAATCTTAGTGCTCTAGCCATGTCAAGAATAAACCTATGCTTTCTCTCAACTACTCCATTATGTTGAGGAGTATACACACATGAACTCTGATGTATAATCCCATTAGCCTTGAATAGATCATCCATTTGATTATTAAAAAATTCTGTTCCATTGTCTGTTCTTATACACTTAATACCTACACTAAACTGATTTCTTACCAAGCTCACAAAATCTTTTAAAACTACCACAGTATCTGATTTAGTGTGTAGTAAAAAAAATCCAAGTATATCTGGACATATCATCCACAAGTGTTAAAAATATCTTTTTCCATCATAGTTAGGCACTCTGTAAGGTCCCCATACATCACCAGTATAATGTCAAAAACTGAAACTGAATGAGAAAGACTAGTAGGAAAAGGTAGTCTTGATTGCTTGGCAATTGGACATATAGAACAATGATGATCATGTATAGGTACAATGTTCAATTCCTTTATTCTACTTAGCACTTTTAGAGGAGCATGTCCAAGTCTTTTGTGCCATAGACTACTTATAGAATCAACAATAGAATTAAAGCTAATAGGTCTAGTCCTTTTACATGCAGCTTCCTTTGCACATTCTCCAAAAGAAACTTGACCATTTGAAAGCTTTGTTGTGACATCAGTATTGAGGATATACAGTCCTTGATTCTCTTTACCAATCCCCAGGACCCTCCCATTGAAGAGATCCTGAAAAATGCAAAAATCAGGAAAAAACACTACAACACACTTCAATTGTTTTGTTAGTTGTGACACTGATAGGAGATTATACTTGAATTCTGGAACAAATAACACATCCTTTACTAATTTGTCTTTAAGAACCAAAGATTCACCAACATGACTAATAGACACCTGATCACCAGTAGGTAAATTCACTTTCGTACCACCCTGAACATCAAGAGTTGTGGACTGACTCATTAAACCAAAGTTGTGAACCATATGATTGGAGGCACCAATATCTATAATCCAGTTAATATGTGACATATCAGACATTAGAGCTGTAAAATTACCTGATGTCCCAGATACACCTGCAGTAGCTACATTGGCCATTGTATCCACTTCTTTACTCTTCCCTTTTCTCAGCATCTGCAAAATCTCATAATATTGCTCTTGAGTAAACATTGACACACCCTGTCCTGAAGTAGTATCATTAGATGACTCATTTTCTCTAGTATTAGAACCTAAAGCTGAATCAAACATTCCAGACTTATTGCCAGCAGAAGCATTATTTGCATAAGAAGATGCTCCTCCTTTCTTCTTAGGATAACCATAGAGTTTGTAACAAGTTTCTTTTGTATGACCTTTATAGTGACAAAATTCACAGTAGAGTTGTGACTTTCCTGCAGAATAACTAGTTCTTCCATCTCCATATCCTTTATTTCTATATCCATTATTACGAAAGTTAGACACCCCTCTTCCTGTTCCTGAGGAAGCTGCATTACTATTATTGTAGTATCCATCATTTCCATATTGGGAACTAAGATGCATTCTATTACTCATCAGTTGTTTCAGATAAACCTTCTGCAGATGAAGATGTATTTCCTGCACCGTGTATTCTTTGACTCTCAACACTAATAATCATAGCATAAGCCTGATTTACACTTGGAAATGGAATCTGCATAAGAACTTGACTTCTTGCATGAGCATAAGACTCATTAAGTCCCATCAGAAATTGCCACAACTTTTGAAATTGTAAATGCTCTATGTATTGCTTAGATTCAGGACAAGCACATGAAGGACAATGAATCAATGTTTCAGCTTCATCCCATAACTCTCTCAATATTGAAAAATAAATTGACACAGAAGAAGTTCCTTGTGACATAGTGACTAA